GCAGCTACAGGGGAGAATTAACAATCAGATCTTGGGAGTTAAAGGGTTAATATACATTTCCTAAGGTGCTGACAGAGAACTTGTTTAACAGTTAAGATTTTCTTTCATTGGCAATCATTTCCTTTACCCTTGTGAATTTAATATTTGATTCAAGGGTGATATTGAAAGAAGAAATCCAGTGCTACTCACTCCTAGGAGTTAGAGGATTTATGTCTACTAGTCTGCTTATGTTTTTTCATTTACCTGCAGGGTAGCCTGTGCTTTAGCAAAATTGTTGGCATAGGTGCTGTAAAGTTTAATGAATGGTGCTAAGGCTAAAAAGGCATCTCCAAGGCCTGATGTTTCCATATGACTCAAGAGCTCCCTGTTCACTGCTTGAATTGACTCCACATTCGAGAAGATTGTGTTGAGTACATTTGGTGGCAAGATGCTTGCAACTTGCAGCGGTGCAAGAAATTGCTGGAATTTCAATTTATGACAGGATGAGATTGATCACTTACCCAATTATATAGAGTGTGTCTAATTGATTTATAAGAAGTACATTAAGAATTAAAGACTTAATCAAAACCATAACAAAATTCTTGACTGTGATTGGTTATCACCAGCCCAATTTGAGCACTAATAGGACAGTGTACATATCTTGCTTGTAATTGGACAGTGTTATGGGACAGTTAACACATCATGCCTGAGTAAATGGACAGTATGCGTCATGCGCACACGCCGTTAGTGTGTATTTTGCTGAGTAAACTGTTGTTTTTTTTTACGAAAACATATGAATGATATCTCATTCTTTCTCAAATTTTATCATGTAGTAGTTTTGATTAATTGGTAAAAGGGCTTTGTGTTGTCCAATTCTGCCTGTATTCATACTTGTGATTAACAAATCAGACTCCTGCTTTACAGTGCATATCCCAATTTGTTATTACATACAGACTGAATTGGACTCCACTTGGTCCTATTACCATCATAAAGTAAGCCTTATGGTCCTATTAGTATCCCTCCAGAATAGCCTGCCACAAGATTAGTAGTCCAATAAAAGGTACAGTTTGATACTACCTATTTATACTCATGGATGGAGGAAAAAATCTGCAAGAGCTGAGGATCCATTAAAAAAAACAAACAAAAAAATCTGACAAGTAAGAATTGCTCTGTGACAAGAGCCTTCAGGAACACATTTATTCCTCTCAAAGTGTCACAACACAAGTGTCTCTTCACTGCGAGGAAGTTTGAGGCATTGAGCAAGGCAAGCTGGTCAGAGGTCTGCAAGGGAATCTGACACTCATTATCAAGGCCTCAAACTTACTTGCAGGTGAAGAAACACTTGTGCCTCAGCCCACATCCTCCCAAACAAAAAATAATGACCTGCTTGAAGGCTACCTCTAAGAGCACAGGTTTTGAATTCATCCTTAACTTACTGATGTTATGGCATGCAAATGATCCTGATAGGTCTTTTCTGTGGAAAAAATCTCACTGATGACCTTTTTCCTCTTTCTGGCTAGAGTCTGACTGCGAAGCATGTGATTAAATTCAGCAGAAATTGCCTGACTTGTTTGTGACAGTTGAAGAGACAGGAACTTCTTGGCATTGTGTACTGTTACGTGGAGAAAGATGAACTCTTATCAGCTTTGATGACAGCATGAATTCTCCTCTCATTTCTACATATTTTGTATACACTAGCAATAGGAGAGCGATAAACATGGCAAGATCTACAATACACCGTTACCTAACTGCATCTCGCTGAGTGAGAGAGTAGAGATTCCACTAAGGTTGTAAAAACGACCAAGACGGCATTCCTTGGACTACTTTCACCCAAACGATCAGACTACATGATCACTTGTTACTTCTGGATTCAAACCATTTACTAAACTACCCAGTGAAATATTTGAACGAGTTCATTTACTGAACTAATTGACTTGGCTCTTCCAAGCATATACCGACACATGTAAAAGAGGTGTTCATAAAGTTGCAGGGTATATTTATTCGTGTACGTACGGCACCAAAAGCTGTTTATCCACACATTATGTGAGTACATAAGATGACAAATTTCGGAAGTAATCAACCGAGAACAACCTTAAATCCGTTTCCTTCTCTGAAGAAATTTCAGATGGACTGATACGCAAACTCGACACTTGAAAACAATCGTGTATCAGAATGTATTTCAAATGATTTCCAACTTCCGATCAACTTTCAGTGTTTTTCACGTGTAAGCAATAAAATAAATGGCCATTAAAATCCTTAAAAATCCCTAAAGTATCGATTATACATTTTGGAATCGTAAACGTATGTAAGAAAACATGTGAAGATCAATATATATAAGTTTAGTTGATTCAAAACTTACACTTTGGACGAAACGGACTTGCATTTCCATTAACCGTGGCCATGATTTCTGCAACACTCTTTCCAGCGCCTGCTTTACAATTGATAACGACGGAAAAATCGACTTTTTGCACCTTTTCCGATTAAAAGAGATTTCAGAAACCAAAAATTGAGGAAACTCTACGGTAAACAACAACGAACATTTTAACGTTCAAACTTCCCACCCTCTGCTGAACGACAAATGACCTGGGTACTAAAGAACTCCGCTGGCCAGTGAAGTACAAGGTCTCATCAAGTTAGTCCAGTGTCCCTCTTCACGATGTCCTATGCCTACGATCAACCTTTTTTCAATTCCTCTTTTACTTTCATCTACGATGAAAATCAGTGTCAATTGAAGAAATATATATGCGCTCAATGCTAAAAAGTGAGAAAGACTTCCAGGACGAGTGATAACATTTCCTTACTTAGGCGTACGGTAAATAATTTGTCCCGCGAGTGGGCGACAATAGAGAGCAGCAATTAGGGCCTTGACAGGAAGCAGCGGTGGGTAGAAAATATATTCTTTGGAATTAGGAGGAAAATAATACTTAAAGCCTCCGCACATCCTTCCTTTATGAAAGCGTAATGTATCGTCTAGGTTTTTCTAATGGATGGGTACTTTTTGTCTTGTTTTTGTTCTACAACTCAAGGATGTGACCAGATGCTCTGCAGGAATAAAAATTAAGCTGGAAACTCTTATGCCTCTGGATCAACTAAGGTCACCCTCCCATCGAATTGGAAAGTTAGATGCTATTGTATCCTTTGATTTAACTGTCTACACCCCAACATGAGTTACTACTTCTCCATACTGTTCTCTTTTCATTTCCAATCAGGCACCAACGAGAATTTTGTTACAAATCAAAAGCTTCTTTAGTTTGCAATAATTTCCTTTGTTCTTATGTTCAGAAGTAATGCTGTACGGGGAAATGGAAGACTAACTGCGCTTGAGGTTTGAAGGATAACGAATCAAAATTTTTTCTGTTTCCAATATTCAAGGTAAAACCTTTATTTCATGACCTAATTCAAATTTACCATCTCTCATAAACTATTTACACTGTTATGCTCTTTGCTTCTTACAAATTAAAAAAAACGTTCAAAAGTGCTACCCCGGGTATGCACTTGATATCAGGTCTCAGTATCCTCAAATTATAATATATAGATTTAGCCAAGCCTAAAAGCGGAGCTCGCTTTTTTTTTTCCCGCAGGTCTCAAGGGCACAACGCCTTGTCCCGGCCAGGACTAGAACCGGGTCGTCCAACTCGGAGCCCAGTGCACTGACCACTGGACTACAGAACAAAGCCGTGGCGTTGGCGTGCCCGCGGTACAGTTGACCACGCATGTTAAAAGTAGAACCTTGTGCGGTCGTACGGTCGTACATCCAAATTTTTTCGGCTTGATGGGTTACTCAGTACTATTTTGTATAATTGTGGGGCTACGCTCTGCGAGCTCCGCTATGATAAAACTAAATTCTGCACGCATTTTGTTTGATTCTTACTAATGACTTGATGGAAGACAGACGCAAACTAGATGACGTCGCCATAAACAACATTTTACTTTTTTATCATATAAAACAAATAGATTCCATGTTGTTGCATGCTGTACAGTAATCAATCACAGAAGACGTAAAAATGCGGTAAGAACACGAGTGAAACACTCGGCTGCGCCTGTGTGCCACTGTTTCCTTCTTACCACATTTGATGTGACCTAAGATCTATAACTGAACAGAAAAACGGCAACATGGATTATTTTTTTAAAATATTAACTTACTGCCGCTGAAAATATTTAAGATAAATAGGTGAGGACAGACTGCACTATTTTAGTCTACATTTTTGCATGAAATGTCTGTTTTTAACTTAATCTTTCTTTCCAGTTTAGACCTTACTTGCAACAAAATAGACTTGACTAATAGCACTTGGAAGACAGTTTATGCACTTTGTGCTTACAAACACCTCACTGATGCCTGGGAAGTAAAATCACTAACATTCAAAATAATAGAAGCCTGAATGCTCATCTAACAAATTACATTTTGGAAATGAAAAAAAAAAATTATAAAAGTGATCTTCATTCTGTAGTGAGGAGAAAAAAAAATATAATTATTCTATTCTTTGATCTAGGAAACAAATTGTCTCAAATTTAGTTATTAGTGATCAATCAGTAAAGTTAGAGCATGCAAGGAGGATCTCATCATCAGTCCCATGGAACGATAGTTAATTCACCCGCAGTAAGGACTTGATGGCCTTGAGTTAAGCAAGGAGACAAGAAGTCTGCAAGGGTTTAGCATCTCATTTTCAGTGCTTGGCCCAGAGCAAACTTCTCTCTGACTTCCCTCAAATCTTCCCGTGGGCAGAGAAATGGCATCCTGCAGAGATGATAATGAGGGCTTACTTAAAGGCTATTAATAATGGTAATAGGGCCAAGTGGAGTTCAATTTGGTCTGTGATCATACAAGTGATTAACAAAATGGGACAACCACGAAGTAGGAGTCCGATTTTTTAATCACGAGTATGATTACAGACAAAATTTGATGACATGAAGTCCTGTTGCCATTATTAATAGCCGGTTATATGTTTTCATAAAAACAAAACATCAGTTAACTCGGCGACATGTGAGACAATGGTGTACGTAGATGACGCCGTTCTGTCCACTTACACCGGCATGACGTGTGAACTGTCCCTATTACACTATCCAATAACAAGCATTATGCATAATGTAATGTCTGAGACCTGATTCAAATGCGGACAGTCAAGTAGATATTTCAGTGAGTTATTTACATCGTGTATTGCTGGTTACAAGTTTTTGCAATCACGATAAGATATCAAGTTTTCGAGAGCACATGGTCTGTTTTGAGTTTAAGTGTTAGCTTCAGCTAAGATTGTCAAACAAGATTTCATTTGTTATTGGCGGAACAAGGCACAAAAAACTTGTAAGTATCGATCAGTTTTTGTTTTGCTATCTTATCCATAGTGATAGTAATCGGTCAAGTCGCCCGAGAGTCATCTCGCCCGAAGTCTTGTCGCCCGAAAAAAAAGTCAAGTCGCCCGAAGAAACAAAATTTGTTTATTTAATACTAAAAAGATCTGAATTCAGACTGTAAATAGGCAATAACGTTTAGAAATTTTTTTATCACTAAAGCGCTCTTTGTTTCCGACAACACCATGAAGATTCTTAAATCGTTGTTCGTTCCTGACAACAAAGGGAAACGTTGTTCGTTTCCAACAACAAAATGCAGCGTTGTTCGTTTGGTATGTAATCGTTTCTTACTCACGGACGTTTCGAAAGCTTGAGAAACTTTTTCTTGGTTTCTAACAATACCATGAAGACTTTGACTACACAGAAATCGATCGTATGATCGGAATTGAAATATGTTTGAGTAACGATTCTAAAAGCGTTGTTCGTTTCGAACAACAAAGGGAAGCGTTTTCCGTTTCTGACAGAAAATGAAGCGTTGTTCGTGTGGTATGTACTCGTTTCTTACTCACGGACATTTCGTAAGCGTTGTTCGTTTCCATAAAAAAAAATGCACGGATGCAGCGTAACATACAAGTAAAGTTCTGTTGTGTCTATTTGTGACTTTCTTAGCAATAACAGATGAAAACACCTGGTAAACGAATGTCGATTGTCGCGTTCGACAAGTCGATAAAAGTTAAAGCGAGTAACATACAAATTAAATTAACTTGTTGCCTTGCTTACCCCTGCCTTAAGGTAAGTGTGATATTTTTAAGATAACAGTCTATTGTTATGCTTGTGACTTTTATCACAGTAGTAGTCTGATAGCATCATTTCCCTTAGGATCAAAATAGGCAAAAATTACGTAGTTGTGCTCTGTTTCCTCTGGCGGTCGCATGTATATTTTGATCCGATCAAAGTATATATGAAGAGGGCAAAGCTAGCTATAATACGAATACGAACTGATTCAATTGAACATTCATCCTTGCATTGAGTGTGATGATGAAGTTAGACTACGTCAACAAGCCCTACAGTGCGACGATTATGGGTCGATCATATGGCCTTTCTGACCATATGATCGATTTATGTGTAGACAAAGTCCTTATGACTTTATTAGAAACCAATAAAAAGTTTCTCAAACTTACCAATTTTTTTGAGTAAGAAACGAGTACATAACAAACGAATAACGCTTCATTTTTTTGTTAGAAACGGAGAACGCTTCCCTTTGTTGTTAGAAACGAACAACGCTTTTAGAATCGTTACTCAAACATATTTCAATTCCGAGCATATCGATTTCTGGGTAGTCAAAGTCTTCGTGGTATTGTTAGAAACCAAGAAAGAGTTTCTCCAGCTTACGAAACGTCCGTGAGTAAGAAACGATTACATACCAAACGAAAAACGCTGCATTTTGTTGTTGGAAACGAACGTTTCCCTTTTGTTTTAAGGAACGAACAACGCTTTAAGAATCTTCCTGGTGTTGTCGGAAACAAAGAGCGCTTTGGTGATAAAAATTACTCAACGTTATTGCCTATTTACTGTCTGAAATTCATATCTTTTTGGTATTTGTTTCTTCGGGCGACTTGACTTTTTTTCGGGCGACATTACTAAAATTTCGGGCAACATGACTCAGGTTTCGGGCGACTTGACTGTAAACCCTGGTGATAACCAATTGCATTCGAGAATTTTATTATAGTTTTGATTAAGGTTTACATTCGACCAGCTGTAGAACTGCTGAAGCTCTACTAAAGCTCCACTGCATATCTTGCAAGCTTGGCAAAATTATCTTCTTACATATACGATGTAAATATATATCCTATTATATAGGAACAATTTTAATAATATTTATAATAACCTTGACAATATGTTAGTAGGAATGAGGCAAATACACTGTGCCTTACTGTACCTCATAATGTAAAAACAATAATAATAATAATAATAATAATAACAATAATAATTATGATAACAATGATAGCCTCGAAAATATTTTAGTATGAAAAAGGCTAAGGCACTGTACTTCATTTTAAATTAATAACTTATGAACAATAAGAGAAAAATAAAAAAGACTGGTAAAATAAATACAACTTGGTTAGTCATACTGTAAGGTCACACATTGGAGACGTCCACTCCAGGTATGTTCATTTGATTAAGCATATACTGTAGAAGCAGGTCATCTCAGTCAGCAATCAATTGTCGAAATAAGAAAGTCTTTGAATGTGAACTACTTGCCTCAGACACAACATACTTAAGAAAGCACATAGATTTTCATAAAATTATCTGCATCACAAAAAACTAATTGTTGCTAACACTTGTCCCTATGGTATGTTGCAACCACTGAAATGGCAGTTGCAACCACTGAAATGGCAGTGCACCCTGACCTAAATTAAATTTTAATTTTGTTTTTGTTTATATTCGCTGTTTTTTTTTCTATTTTTTTCCAACCCGACTAGAGCAGATGCACACCATTCAAGTGGGGGCACCTGCCCCCTCAGCCATTCCTAAGACAAACTGCCCAATCTCTATGTCACTTGGCCTCTCAGGCATTTCCCAGAGATCCTTTTTCCCATGAATCTTGTCACGACAGAGTGGACAAGTCTCATTCACATCACTCCTGTTATGAGAAAATATAAATGATGTAGTTGAAAGTCTTGAGCATCCTAGATTGCGTAAAATCTTGAAAATGAACTCTCCACCCAAGCCAAGTGGCCTATCTGGCCAGACCATAATTTATTGTATTGTTTCTGTAGCATGAAGTCATTGAGAGTAATTGTGAGCCCCTCCCTCCCTCCCTCCCCCCCTTGCTAGCCCCCTTGTGAATTGGATGCTGGTCTGTTGCAAGGGAAACCTTCCAGCATTTTGTCATTCTTCCCTGACAATCCTCTAGAGACCAGCGTTTGATTAGCATGACTAGCCCAGGCTTAAATTTTTATCCAGGGTTCTTTATTCCTACATTTATATGCCTCTTTCAGATAATTTTCTCAGTCTATCCATTTTGGGATATCTAATCATCAAATTGTAGACAAAAGGAATGGTACTTAATTTTCTTTTAAAGCTTCCAAATCTGAAATCAGATTTCACACTAAACCTGAGTTACCTTAACACTTTAACTCCCAGATCAAATTTGTAATCCTCCTTACTGTCAACCATACAATTCTTATAATGTTAGTTCAGAGAATTTTGTATTGGATCAATTGATTATCCCCAAATTGATATTTTCTTTATTCTCATTCTTTATCTGCTTGATATTGTATTGATACTGTAAGGAGAAATTCTGTCTTGGTCACCCATGGGAGTTAAAGGGTTAACCCAGCTTCAGACAAACTGGCCCAGGCTGGAGGGAGTCACTGTGAGAGTATTGTTCACCCTTTAACTCCCAGATCAAATTTGTAATTCTCCTTACTGTCAACCATACAATTTTCATAATGCTAATGCAGAGAATTTAGTATTGGATGAATGAATTATCCCCAAATTGATAATATTCTTTATTCTCATCACTTATCTGGTTGATATTGTATCGATACTGTAAGGAGAAATTCTGTCTTGGACTTTTACATGATGGGCCCCCTCTAACAAATATTATGATCACCTTTTAAAGGTAGAAATGCAGTCTCCTGCCCAAGAAAAAATGCACAATGACCCACGGGTCTTTATCCTGAACCTCTTACCCTGAATCCACCATGTCTCTCCTCATAAAATCATAGCTACTTTAAAATCAATTTTTATCTGAATTTTTTTTCGCATTATCAAGTCTTACCATTTCTCAATACAAGTCTTGCAAAAGCAATGGACACAGGACAGGATAACTTCTGCTTTTTGATCCATGCATATACAACACTCCTCCATGTTAGAATCCTCTGAGGCTACTTCATCCACTCTGTGGACAAAAAAGATGTGCAAAGTTAACTAAATAAAAATTATCATACTAACAGTATGAAAATACTACAGATTGAAAGAGACCACAAGGAGAAGACAATTTGCCATAGAGTTCTTCGGGATGTATAAATTAAATTTTCCTGTGCTTCAAATATACTAAATCTCAAACAGAAGAACTCTCTAAAATTTGCTGCTCCTCCAACCTGTAGCTTTTGGCTCAGTTGGTAGTAGCACCCAACTAATATCTGGGAGGCACAGTTCAAATCCTGTCAGAGCCTTAATTTTTCTTAGGACCATACACTGTGCACAGCTTTATTTGAATTCAATCCACACATCAAATGAAATGTGCTTCATTACAAATAGATTCTTGAATCATTTCAAGTGCAGATTACCAAAAAAATGGCCAGTTGACAGCCAACCATCACTTCTCATGTGGCCTCTAAAGCTGTCTGCTATAATAAAACATTTTTGGATTTGTAGAGCCACTTCCATTTTCATAGCTGTCTGTACATTTTATGCTACCATCTACAGCCAGTTATGAAAAAAGTTATTGAAGACCTCATCAAGAAAACTGCACTTCAGGGGATGTTGGTGTGCTCTGTGATTCTTGACTGTATTGTGTACACTCCCCTTACAAAGTTATTTGAACTTAAACTTACACTATCGTTGAAACTCTCCTGGTCTTAGAATTAGCACTATAAGTTTCCTGTATTTTAAACATTTCTGGACTTAAATCATACCTTGTAAATATCACTGATGCACAAAGAGATTCATGGATTTCCTCTAATTTTACTGAACATGTTTCATATGCCTACAAGGTAGTAATAGACATGGGAACTTTAAATTAAAAGTCATAAATAAAAATTGATACCACAATTTTTACTCTTTTACTTTTATGAAAGACCAAGACAGAATTTCTTCAGATAATACCAATATCAATCAGGGCATTATTAATTGATCAAATACCAAATTCTCTGAACTAACATGGCAGACAGTAAGGAGAATCATTGATAAGATCTTGGGATTGAAAGGATTAATATAGTTGCTCACTACAGTGAAATAGTTTTGTGCCTAAATGTATAACTTTGGATTGCACAATCATATTAGCTAAAAAAAACTCAAAATTAACTATTACAGTCACCTCTTCGCTAATAGACACTCTAGTAAGCAGACAGTTCTGGTTATAGACCCTTCTTTACATTTCCGATCTTGTCTCTGAGTCAAACTCTGTATTTACACATTCCTGTAAGCGGCCAATATCTCATAAGCAGATGCACACACTCTTTAAAGCGACAATTGAATTTTTCTTTTGCTTACACCCTCTTGTAAGCAGACACCCCATGCATAATAATTGACTCCTAGCTGTGAAATTTGTCTTGAATTTGTAAATCAACAAAACATGACTTTTGACAGAGCAACAGAACAGAGGGGATCACTTTTGTCAAGGGAAAGCAAGCTGTCCATTTTACTTTAACAAGAGTCAGGCATAAACTCTCCCTAAAGCTGATATGCACCCTATTTTTTAAAATTCCTGAATGCAGACAGTTCTGCTGCTTACAAGAGAGTTGAATGTAAGTCATGCTTAGTTGATTGCTTTATACAGACAAAGCTCATCATACCTCTTCCCCAATAGGATCAATTTTCTGCCAGTCTTCATCCTCTTCACCATGCATGTGCCGCAGTTGCTTCGTGATATCTCTATACAACTTGCAAAACTGTCGAAGGTCCATAATTCTCTCACTGTCAACATTTGTGCTAGCAGAATCAATCTGTATATTGGATAAAATGAATTTGATTTCAGTCATGTACATGTAAGCTTGAATTTCTGATAACAAATCTTTATTTAGACTTGTGTAGCCTGTAATGATATTGGTCTATGTTCTTGTGAGCTAGTGCAAAATATTCTAATAGAGTGTTGATGCCATGATACTTTCTCCTTGGTATACTTTTTCACTTGCAGCAAGCTTTCTGTGATCTTACCAACCAAATACAGTGGCTATAACTGTCACACCTAATTAGAATGTTTTGCACCAGCTCTACAGAATATGAGTCTGAAATATTGGTTGCTAAAAGAATGTTAAGTTCCATCATTCCCCTTGGGCAGACTAAAATTAACTTTTCTATTCTGTAGCCAATTGGCAAAAACAAATTTTTTGCCCTATTTATGGAGAGGAACAATGTGTTCTCCAAAGAGTCGAATTCTTTGGATTTATGGTTAACAACCAAACTAAGAAGTTCCAAAGTCATAAAAATGTTTCTTTGCTTATAGCATAAAGAGGCCCTCCTCCCCCTCAACCAAAAATAAGCATATTTTCTACTTGAGCACTGGTTTTCAAGAAGAACATTGAGATGGCAACTTTGATTCAAGTTCTAGTCACCAAAAGTCAATTATTAGTAACACTAATGACAAGATGGTCATAGATTCAGACCCTAATGACTTACTACAAGTAACTTGGGATGAAAGGTTGGGTTTTACCAAACATATAGCACTGACACCACTCACCTTATAACAAACTATCCTTGTTGTAGCTTTCCATAGATATGGAGAATATTCTTCTGATGGTTCCTTTATAGCAAACATGATGCATTGCCCTCTACCCTCTGCAAACTTTCTGAGTCTGAAGAGAAATCAAATGTGCAATTAATCATCAAGTGACGGCTTTGTATTTAGAGAAAATAAATTACTGTGAGACCTATCTAAAGTGCACGCCATATTGGGTACACACCCTTCATAATGCAGATACAGGTGAAGGCTTATGCTTGATAAAGGTTTCACTGCCTGCATTCTTTGTATGCAGAATTATTCAGCAGTGTCATGGGTAAGCTCTACTTAACAACTAGATGCCATGTTGCTGTGCATCTGTTCAGTAGTACATCACCGATGATGTCAAAATGTCCTAAGAACAAAAAAGTGGCTTACAAGGCATAGCTGAGTATATCACTGATGTTCTTAACCCTTTAACTCCCAAGATTTCATTAGTAATTCTCCTTACCGTCTGCCATACAATTCAAGTGCTGTTAGTTTGGAGAATTTGGAATTGGATCAACCAATAATCCCCTAATTGATATTTTACTTATTCTCATTACTTGTCTGCTTGATATTGTACTGATGGTGTAAGGAGAAATTCTGTCTAGGTCACTGGTGGAAATTAAATGTTTTAAATAACAAAGAATCAAAAAATTGTTAATGGTAATGTCACCTATGCATCTATACTCCAATAGATCTTAGGTAAGAACCAATCAAAAATAATGCATAATTCAGCTTATTATATAGATGTAATTTTTGTAACTAAAATGTTGTTACAAATCAAGTTTCACTTGTTTGTGTTTCAGAACTTTAGCTGTTACAATAACATACAATTTTTTTGTAACAGAATTGCGATTTATTGAAATAGCAAGTTGAAATAGAGTACAATGCACGATAAGCTGAATTTCTAACTTTGCTTTGTCTTTGAATGGATCAATCCAAATTAAGAGTTGTCTTGACTCTAACTGATACAAAGGAAGTGGGCCACACGATTGGACTAATTATCTGCAATAAGCGTGAGCCGCAGAACAAAACAACAAATCAAGTTCAAATGAATTTTTGACCTTTGATTTATTTTTGTAATACAGCTCTAACGTGACTTGGACAAACGCAAAGAAACTAAAGTAAAAAAAAACACACACACACACAGACACGAATCTTGGGGTTGTAAGTCGAAGTTTCTTTACTTTTAAAGAGCGATTAATCGAAAATTGCTAATTTTGTTAATGATAGCCTCGATTAGCACAAAACGGAGCAACTAAAGTTGCAGTAACACACGAATCTAATTAAACGTCGTACAGACAAACACTTAAGCACGAGTATAGATGAAATTATTCCCGTTAGTAAGTGTACTTACGTCTTATTTAGATGTGCTACGGCATCTAGAGAAAGGAAAGAACAATTAGTGTGTGCTTGAGTTATTATGAAACCCTGCGAAATTCAGTAACATAAACTATCGAAACTAAAAAGTGTAAATAAATTCTAGATCTTCACTGCCGCTTACTTTCAAGACTTTCGTGGTTGAGAACCGCGAGATCTTTCAAAACAACAGCATAATCGTGCAACACTTTGAGCGCGAAACTATACTGTTGACCCATTGCTACAAAGGAAGTGCGTATAAATACTCAGTAACTATCAGGAAATGGAGAAAAGAACGGTTGATGCCGGAAGGACATGTTGGATCGAATGAAGATGAGTGAAATTCATTATTTGTCAGCGGTTTGTCATTGATAGCATGCGCAAAAGGTAAAACAGTGAAATGGAGCTTGGGGCGAAAATGCATACGTGACATCAATTAATGCCGGGAGACGCCGGAAGATGAAAAAAAAAGTCTGTTCGCTTCCATGACTTTTTCAAAGTAAACAGGAACAAGAAACTAGCCAGACTCAACCACTAAAACACGTGGATGCGGCCAAAGTGTCTGGGAAGCAGGCAGATATTTACACCGGCCTCCCGTAATGAACAAAGTTTTCAGACAGATTTGTCTGAAGTTAAGGTTTAAGTTTAACATGGTATAATTTTATTGGTAAACTGTTGAAAATCCTGGTAATTTTACCCTGTTTAATGAAGAGAAAAGACTTATGTTGAGGGGGTTACGGTCAGGTTATTGGAAGTAGGTTTGTTTGAAAAAATACATCTGATTCGCGTGGTTCTGGACTAGGAGGATCGGTTTCATGGCCCGGGGGGACACGCCACGCCCGAACTAAATTGATTCAGAGAGCCCTTTGGTCAAGCAAGCCAAACTCAAGTCACTTAATGTTTTTTACCTACGTACTTTTCAAGTTGATCATCGTGTTCACTGTCATTCATTAATCTAGGGTCTCGGCACAGCTTAATGTGGACGAAAACGGAAAATATTTTAGGAAAAAACTCAATATTGAGATTTGTTCTGAAGCGGTTAATCAGGACAACTATTCAGTAACGTCCGTGGGTGTAGTCCTGTGTTATTGTATCAGTTTCCGTTGTTCTCTCTTATACTCGTCCGTGGGAATATCGGGAAAAAAAACCCTTTTAATTAACCCTTAAACTCCCAAGATCTGATTGTTAATTCTCCCCTCTTGCTGTTAAATATTTTCTTGTTAACTCGTAACAAGAATTTGGTGTTGGATCAAGACAACAACTTCAACTCATGATAAGTTTGGGTATTCTTGTTACCTGTTTGTTGGACAATGTATGGATATTATAGGGAGAAGTTACATGTTAATCACTTCTGGAACTCCCCTAAAGGTCTCCTGTACATGAGAACAAATTTAAATATGGGCCCAGTTGTTCGAAGGCCGTTACCGCTGACCTAAGGATAATATTTTATTAATTATTCCGGGTTTCTTTATTTCTCCATTCAGGGGCTTTCTTCAGACAATCCTTTTCAGAGCATCCGATAATCAAATTGTAGAAAACAAAATTCAATTTAATTTTCTTGTACAGCTTTCAAATCTGAAAAAAGGAAAATTTCACACTTATCTTGGGTTATCTTGACTCAGCAGTGAACAACTTGACTCAGCAGTGATGTTTGCGTGCCGGATTCTATTGCAACTGTATCCGGCGGAATTTGTAAAACTCAACTGTTTAGTTTCCGATCCGCTTGTTCTGAAGTTTTCTTTCTCAGTCTAAAATTAACAAAAAGAAAAAAGAAAACTTGAATAATTGATAGACAACAGTTCTTGTACAAAGATATCTTTCATTTTGTTTTGCTATGTTTAAATTGTGCGGCTGTCAAAGTGAGGCGTGAGTGGGCTTTCAGAAAGAATAACGTCACTGATGGATGACTCATTCTCGGACACAGTGAGAGAGAGTGGGCTCGACGCAAATATGACGTCAATCGGATGTTACCATAACAGTTTGAACTTCCGTTTCAACTATAATACAACCTTACATCCTTTAAAAGAAATACCAATAAACCCGTTTGTCTTATCATTTTGATTATGCGTGGTCCAACCCTGTTAACTCCCCGAGCCCCCACATTTCGGATATTGACAAGTGGTACTGCATTTGGTAAATTACTAATAACGATTCTATTCAACTGCTATCAAATTATTAAGTAAGGGGCATACCTTTTTTGTCTGCGGTTAATAAGCGAAACGTTTGACTCCTGATGGTTAGCTTACCTTGCAGCTGACGTCTGATCAAGGCGGATGAGCTCTCAATAACAATCATAGCAGAGCCTTGAGAGTTGCTTTGACCTACGATCTAAAAGAAAACATACGCGCGCTTCAGCACGTGTTGAACTGGAATTGACCACGATACGGCAGAGGTAAGAATGAAAGGCAGTTGAAACAGAAACAGTGCTCACGATTACTAACAATATGCTACAATCAGTTACTTGTTTGGTTATCCGTAGTGAGCCAAGGTATCTAGACGAAGAGATTATAAAATTATTTTTTTCGCTCATGCTATTCGAAAGATCTCGCTTGTATCATCTAAATTTAAGCCTTAGTTGATTCTGTCGTGTGTCAGTCGAGGTTTTTTAATCGCCGGATCGGTTTTTTAACTCTATTCTCCTGAATATTGTCTGAAATATTCAATAATGTATCGACACTTCAACAACGGAATTGCAGGGCTCCTTTCATCTCTTCGAAAACGGAATTTGAAACTCCTACAACGTTAACCGTTTAGCGCTTTGGGATTCAACAGTCAAATTTCTTAGTTGGGCTATATGCTATTCCGGTCAATTTTTAATTTCTTATCCCAAAGGAAATTCTTAAACACGGTGACTATCCAGTCATAAAATTACCTATTTATTATGCAAGGTTAAATTTAGGAAGAGCGCAGTATTACGACATCGATCCCAAACAAGTCGCGTGAGGTAATATTGAATCTTATGACCACTGAATGGAACCGGGCTGATTCCTTCTTAAAACCGATCACGCTCGTTTTGAATATGTAATGAACTAAAATGGTACACATCTTGACGACAAAGGATACAAAATCGTGCCCCAAATCAAAGATATCCTAGCTTTATTTACCCAATATGTATTGCAGTCGGTGTGTTTATCAGGATATTTGGCGGCTTAAATAACCAGATTAAGACAGAAAAATGACAGAGAAGCGGGTATATTGTGAAATGTTTAAACGTTTCCGCGCACGTTGTCTTTAATATAAGTTGTTGTAACGTCATAGGAGCAATCTTGAGTGACAGTAACAAAAATTACATCGTTAAAAGCTGCTTCCTACTTTTACAGAGTAAGATGGCAAGGTATTTGTTGAAAATAATTCCCTCCCTCCTGTTCTTTTTTTGCGTCCCGTGGTAAGTCTCAAATTCCTTGTTGACTGATTGAGTTAATCACATGTCAGCGAAACATGATTTAACATTATCTTTCGCCAGCACAACGCAACGCTCAATTGCACGCAACAAATAATAATGGGTGATCTTCAACGAGATATACTGCCAATACATCCTTGGAATCCGGAATCAAAGTGACTTGCTTCTCCAACAGATATATCCTTGCGGTATTTTGTCTGCTAAGAAGAAAGAAATCTTTTGGAGAAATTGCAGTACATGAAGTGAAATCTATGGCGTAAGCTGGCGAACTATAATACACTGCTCAATGACATCTTACTGTCGACCTCAAAGTTGATTGCATCACACCATTTCGTGTGTTAATGACATTCGAAACTATGGTTATAGACCATTGGTGTCTGTTTTCCATTTTAAATTTTCTCTATCACCTGCATCTATTTTCTCTAGCGAAAGACATAATAGCAGGTGCTCTGACGAAATATGAACCGCTCTGACAGAATTATGTTAACAATGATGACTTGGTGCTATTTATCTTTTCGATAATTATTTTGAAAGAAGTCGGTTATCACAGAAATGCGATTACGACTGATAAATTTCACTATCTCTGAGCTTAAGCCGTTTCAAGTTTGCCAGAGAAACATATTTGCCTCGATTTAATACGACGAAAAGACGTAGATAAGTGATATCTATCCGTTGTTGTGGTTTCTTGGGTTTAAATACTTCCTATTTTCAGCGCGTTCAACGCGTAAGACCTATTGACGTTAAGTTCAATGTTTGATATTTTACCTGCGGTTGTCAGAAGCTGACAAGAGTTATTGGTATAAAAGGATTTGGTTGGCCAGTAAAAACGTATGTTTGCATTGGCGGGGAAACCGCTTTTTAATGCCTACGTCACAGACGATAACATCGTACATTTATGTAGAACTCTGACAGTGGAAGAGGTCGGCACTCTGCATGAACGAAAATTATACCAATGCGGTTTGAAATTCTCAGTTGTTATTGGTGCACATGCGTTTTCATTTGATCGTGCATAAAATTCCCTCCTTTTCATTACGACATTACTGTCTCTTTCCACAGTCACAGTGATCATACGACGTCCAAACATTAACTGGATTTCAAGGGACTCATATTTTAACCTAAATAAAGTCTTGGTTCTGCAACTGTTCCAGGGTTGTTCTTCAGTGTCAAAAATGATTTCAGCTGTTGCAGATTCATGTTCTGTTCGTTTGGACAAAGCGAATGGAAAAGTCTACAAATTTCATGCACTTGTTTTCAACCAAGGTAAGTTTGCATTTAGCTTGCTTTAATTTTTTTTTTCCTTTCTATATATATCTCGGCGGTAAAACATCTAATGAAGCCTGCAGGCATTTACCTTTGAAGACCGATATCATATCTGCACAACTTTAGAATACATTGTCTTTTTATCTTTTATTTTAACATGTATTCTGTGTCGCTAAAGCCATAGAACAAGGCATAAGCAATCATGGTGGCATGTTCCCTCAATTTTTAAGGAATTCATCGCGAATCCGTGGTGATCACAAATAATGAAGACCACAATACCGTCAATTCTTTCAACTGACGAACAGCTGAGGAAAAATTAATCAGTCTTGGGCTTCCTCTAATGGCTTCGAATTGTTCATGAGTTTTCTTAGGAACTTCGTAGGGAAGTGTTCCCAAGTAATTTCTCAGAAATTAGCACAAAACATAGTTTTTAAAGAGAAGCAGTTCGTGAACTCAATTTCTTGTTATTAATTTTAATGCGTCGGGAAGGCATCCCCTATCGTCAGGAACAAAAAGAGATCTTAATTGAAAAACTGTTTTGAGCTTGAGAAGAACCTCAACTTGCTATGAATCAGGAAAACCTTCTTATTCCAAGATTTCAATAAAATAGAAATAAACGAGTTTTTAATCATGTTATGCAAAGATAGACACTAGTGAAAGTCATATAAAAGTGCAAACTGGAAAAGAAAATATAAAAATGCGATACGAATTTTAACTTAGAGAGGATGAATTATTTACTAGTACTTACGACTAATTTTTTTGCCACTACGACACGCAAGAAAATCAACAATTCCCTGTAAGCACTTTTATGTATTTTTTTTTCGTGTGTATCATATTATTTTATAACTATTATCAAGAAGAGGAATTGAAAAGACAGTAAGTATAAAGCACAGTATTTCACTCACATGTAGAACGTGTGAGGTGTTGCAGGTAAACGGCTGTAAAGCTTCGTAATTTCGTACGCAAAATCTGGGCAGAATTTGTGTGTTTCAAAGTGTGTGTGTCAAAGTGTGTTTCTAAACTTTACACTTGTCACAAAGAACGTTATTCTTTATGCTGCTTCCAAGTCGAATTGAATTCACTCAACGATATTCTTTTAAACTGACCAGCTTGTGTCCGACACTTCTTTTTAATTTGTGAGAACTTAGTGTACACGAGAAAAGTACAAAGTCTTGTTCGGAGTTATTTCTTGAGCGCATCCAGAATGGTTATCTTTACACTCTGTTAACTTTAATAAAACAAAATTCTGCGTCTCATTTTCTCGTTCGCATGTACTAATAGGTTTTTTTTTTTTCTGCCGGATATTTCGTTCCACTTCTTTCATAAAAACGCCAAATATTTCATCTTGACTTCAAATAAATTTAGTCTACTGCTCGATTTCATATGTCTTCGGGTTGTCGACATATGCATTTTAAACATGACATATTCATTTCCTCGTGCTGCGTTATCAAAATAAGTGATCATGGCTTATAGATATTGGCTTTTTGCGCTTTACTTGAGAGACAGAAACACCCGGCATAAAAGCGACAACTGCCTAAGGCAATAGCTCTCTCTATCAA